GGGACTCGATCCCGGGACTCCAGGATCATGACCTGAGCCGAAGGCAGTCGCTTAACCAACTGAGCCACCCAGGCGCCCAAGAAGGTTTTTATCTTAAAACATTTTTTTTTAAAGGCTGAATGGGCAGAGCACTGAGGATTTTTTTTTAAGATTTTATTTATTTATTTGAGAGAGAGAGAGAGAGAGAGCATGAGCTGTGGGAAGGGGCAGAGGGAGAAGCAGACTCCCCACTGAACAGGGAGCCTGATGTAGAACTCAGTCCCAGGACCTGGGATCATGACCTGAACCGAAGGCAGCCGCTTAACTGACTGAGCCACAGAGGCGCCCCTTCTTAACACAGATTTTAAAAACAATACAACACAGCAACAATGCAGTCTTCTATGTTAGATATCTTTTCCCCTTTAAGAAATTAAGTCTTTAGTGCTTTCTATAACAAAAGCTATGGTGATATATGTCATTTCAGACTCTCTCTTGCTTGTGGTGGAATGGCTGTGAATTCTCTTGAAGACCTCAGTGTAGATTGCTTGGGACATGCTGGTCTTGTACATGAGTATATATTAGTGAGTATCTCTGTGGGCAGGGGTTATAAAGTGAAGAGTAAACCTTTTTTTTTTTTAATACTAAATCTTTTAATTCAGGCTTTACCTTTTGATGTCTGAATAATCCCCAGGACAGATTTTACAATTTATTTATCTGAATGTTTGTTGAGAGTTCAAATATAACTTAACTGCTTTTAACACATATTTAGTTATGTTTGATAAGAAAAATTCACATGAAGATTGGATTCTAATATTATAAGCTGGGCCTTCATTTCATAATAACATTAAGTATTAGAGTAATTTTTTCTGGATTATCCTCTAGGGTGAAGAAAAGTTCACTTTTATCGAGGCCTGTGTTAACCCTCGTTCTGTCACCTTGTTGGTTAAAGGACCGAATAAGCATACTCTCACACAAATCAAGGACGCTATCAGGGATGGACTTCGTGCCATCAAAAATGCCATTGAAGATGGTAGGCTCTTTGTTGTGATGGACATGAACCTTATGTATATTTAAAGTAGTAATAAATCTATCATAAATATATATAGTATTTTAAAAGATATAAATGATTATTATCCTCTTACTTCATTTTGGATAATTTATAGTTTAGATTGTGAAGATTTTTCCATGGAATATTCTTAATAAGTATGCTGCACTTTTTGGGGGGTTAGATTTTATTTATTTATTTATTTATTTGAGCAAGAGTGTGTGAGAACAAGTGGGGGGAGGGGCAGAAGGAGGAGAGGGACAAGCCGACTCGCAAGCTGAGCAGGGAGCCCGACTCGGAGCTCGATCCCAGGATCATGACCCGAGGTGAAGTCAGATGCTTACTCGACTGAGCCACCCAGGTGCCCCAGTATGCTGCCCTTTTAATTAACTTCTGTTTATGAAATGAAAAAGCACTTAATTTAATGCTTTAGTATCATTTTTTAATTTTTAGAAATTTATTTTTAAAACCACTGGGGCTCCTGGGTGGCTCAGTCAGTTAAGCGTCTGACTCTTGAACTCAGCTCAGGTCTCAATCTCAGGGTCGTGAGTTCAGGCCCAAGTTGGGCTCCACGCTGGGTGTGGAGCCTACTTAAAAAAGAGAGAGAAAAAAAGAAATTTGTTTTTAAAACCACGAAAAGGCTTTTACAGCTTAGAACTCATTCCATTACCTTAGGTGCAGTGTAATTTTAAGAAAGATTAAGAAAGAATATTAGCATGTATTATTTATTGATAATTTATAAACCAACTTCCTTCTAAAAGGAGTTGGAGTAGGTAATTCAATAAAAACACAAATTTAAAATAGAATAATAGGGGCGCCTGGGTGGCTCAGTCGTTGAGTCTGCCTTCAGCTCAGGTCACGATCCCAGGGTCCTGGGATTGAGCCCCGCATCGGGCTCCCTGCTCCGCGGGAAGCCTGCTTCTCCCTCTCCCACTCCCCCTGCTTGTGTTCCCTCTCTCGCTGTGTCTCTCTCTGTCAAATAAATAAAAAAAAAAATCTTAAAAAAAATAGAATAATAAGCACATGAAAAGATCCTCAACATAGTTAGTCATTAGGAAAATTAAAATTAAAACCATAAAGAGATACCATTTCACAACTGTTATGATGGCTATAAATCAAAAAGCTGGACAGTAGTAAATGTTGGCAAGGGTATGGAGAAATTGGAGCTGTCAACATTGCTGGTGGGAACTGCTGGAAAACAATAGGGAGTTCCTTAACAAGTTAAACACAGTTATATGACCCAGCAAATCAACTCTTAGGTATACACCTAAGGTATACCTTAATATTCTTTGATCAAATTGTTCCAGCTACATTTGTTGAAAAGATTCTTCTTTAACCAGTGAGTTAAGTTGCCATTGAAACTTTTCACTGAAAATCAATTGTCCATATTTGTGTGGTTCTATTTCTGGGTTCTTATTCTGTTCCATTGATCTATCTCAATGTTAATATACTATCCTGATTATTGTAACTTTATGATAAGTCTTGAAATCAGCAGTGTTAATCTGCTCATTTTGCTCTTTTTCAAGTTATTTTGGTTATTTAAAATCTTTTCTGCATTTTCATATGAATTTTAGAATCAGCTTGTCAATTTCTACCAAAAAGACTTGAGATTTTGGTTGGAATTTCACTGAATCTGTAGAACATTCTGGGAATAATTGATATCTTAATATTGAGTCATGGTGTTTTTATTTATTTGAGCCTTCTTGACTCAATCTCAGCAATATATAT